GTCCACTATCTTGCTAAGGCCAAAATCAGTTATTTTAGCCAAGCCAAGCTCATCAAATAAAACATTTCCAGGCTTCAAATCATAATGGATAATCTTCTGTGACCTTCTGTTCAGGTAAACAAGGCCTTGAAAAATCTGGACAATAATGATCCTTGCTTCTCTCTCTGGCAATAGAGGAGTTGCTTTAAGAACTCCATCCAGATCCTTGCCTGATGGAGAGAATAACATCGGCGAGTCATGAAAGAAGATTCTACTCAAGGACAGTGAACTATTTTCTCTTCAGGAGAAAAAAATCAAATTGACAATATAACTGAGAAGAGTGATCATACCACTGCAATAGTCCAATACGGTGCAAAATGTATTTGGGTCAATCTCAAAAATATCCCAAAGGCGAACAATGTGCGGGTGCACTAATGTTTTGTGAATGTTGTACTCCCTGAGTGCATGTCTTATGTAACTTTGCTTCTTATCTTCACTCCACTGAGCATCTAAGCCATGAAGCTTACATGCAACATATCTATGCTCCACCAAGTCAAAAGCCTGCCACAAATGCAAATTAGGAATCAATCAATGGATTCTTTTTTGGCACTCCCCATTCAATAAAAAAAGTTAAAAGCGTTAGAACAAAGCATAACTTGCATAGTCCTGACCTTATAAACCTCACTGAATCCTCCTTTGCCAAGAAGGTTTAGAAGAGCATATCGATGGTTTAAAATCTGAAAATTGTTAAAGCAGGAACCATCCTCATCTCGAATATGTTTCATTTCTTGTATAAGCCCTCCTTTCTCCAATTCATATCGATCTCTGTCACACAATACCATTTCTTCCTCCTGAAAGAAATTCAACTAAAATAGTATTGCATAGTAAAAATACAACAAGAATCAATCCTAGATGAAGCAAACTTACACGCTTGATACTGGCTAGATGAGATTTGTATGCTTCATCCAAAAAGAGAACGTCATCCTGAACTGCCTCTATGTCACTTCCATCACCCTTGTCTGCAATAAACATTTGATAATATTATTACTTAAACATGAAAAAACTTGATAATTCCCATTACGACAACTCCTTAAGTGTACTTTGACAGAGCCAAACAAAACTCAAAGAAAGTGTTCCCATCAGTTGCAAATGGTTTCACATATGGCCTGACTCAGTGAAGGCACCATTGCAAGAAAGCCAACAGATAGAGGAGGTTCCTATAATTACAGAGGAAACTGGATCCTTTGGAAAAAATATTCCATTGTAGAGACAAAATAAATAACCTTGAGATAAATCCAAAAGCAATTCCTTGTTCAAACAAAATGTGTTCACCAATAACTACAATCTTAATGAAATCAAGCGTCACGACACAATTTTATAGTGGCTATGAATCCATGTAGAGACACGTGTTCATTCTTTATTAAATTAGCACCATCAATATTACTAAAGAAGAACTCTACCCGATTGACGTTTCTTCAGTAATTTTCGCTGCCTTTCAACAGCTTCCTTGTTCTCCAACAAGTTCCTCTGCAATAAGAAAAGTTCAATTGATGGAAGACCTTGCAAACAAAAGTACTAGTTTGATTTGTGAAGGCAGATGTCAAAGTAACATGAAACAAGAATACTTAGTACGTGGGATATTAGCTTGAGTTATATGACGTCACAATTGTATTTTAGCATCTAGCACAATCAAAGATCGTGAATAAACTCGACAGATTAATCAATTTGATCATATTACAATATACATAACATCATAGTAATATTAAGTGCATCCTTCAGTAAAACTGTACTTGATACCTACCGTAAAACTTAATCGTTAGATATTTTAATCTCACAACTAAATATAAATTAAGATTTTTATTTACGTTGATTTTCAGGAATTAGGCGCCCAATTTCCTTGCTTCCCAGTATGATTTTAAATACTTCTGGACTAAATGGTTATTGTGAATGCAAATGATTTCTACATTAACTTGGCAACAGTGAAATGTAATTCAGGTTTAGTTCCTTTAATCTCCTATTAAAGAATGCAAATTAGATCTTTTCTTACAGTCAAAACAGTGTTAAAGAAAGCCATATCAATAGTTAGTGAAGTTATAGAGACTTGTCAACTGCAAGCAAGCAGCCTTTATTATCATATTTTAGAATATAAGCTGGCACGCTTCTGAAGAGGAAGTGAAACTTGGCAACTCAATCACGTATCCATGCCAGTAAATTTAGATCATTGAAAAATATTTAGCACAGATACTAAGTGTTTATCTGTGCATCCAAGACATGATCTATTGGCATTCTTTGGCGACAGGAATTTTTGGCGCACGGGCTAAAATTTAAAAGTCAATATAATAAATTTATATATTATATTAAAGTCAAATTCATTTAATT